GAAGAGGTAGTGGCGCCCTTTGTGTTCACTGAGCATATGGTAGAGGATATGATCCACACGATGCCGAACTTCAAGGCGGGCCTTGCCATTTTGGCGCCGGCCCAGACCCAGATGTACAGGGGTGCGGTGGTTGAGTTGTACAAACTCGTTCGATTTCAGATTTCCTCACCACTGGCTATTGCCAGCACTGGTATGGTTTCCGCCCGACAGGCGCCGATGTCTTTCAAAGATGGTGAGGCGGTCTACCTTCGCAAGCCAGGCAAAGGTGACGGATCAGATGCTGGCGAACATTATCGCACCTTGAGCATGCTTAGCCATTGGGGTAAGAAAATGGTGAAGGAGTTTCTTGGTGATTCGACGGGTGTGGTTGCTCAGCGCATTAGCCGTATCCAGTTCGGTGGGCTTCCTCACCGTGGCACCCGTGATGCTATTGCCATAGTTGAGGAAGTCATTGAGCGCGTGGCAGCCGCCGCGGCCAAGAGGGCCAAAAGCAAGCGGCATGACCAGAAGTTATTCATCATAATTCAAAGCCTCTTCGATCTGTCCAAAGCCTTTGACAAGATCGATCGCTGTAAGCTCTGGGAGGCAATGCGTGCTCTGTTTCTTCGCGATGATTTGTTGTTGTTCTTAGAGGACATCCATGATGGTGCATGCATTCTCATCCGTGATGTGAAAACAGGTCGTGTCGTTCGGCGGCTACGGAGCCAGTTGGGAGTTCGCCAGGGCTCGTCTGAGGGACCCTTGTGCTTCATCCTCCTGTACGATCTCACCACCCGTAAGATACAGCGCGAACGAGGCGACCATTTCTTGATTGCGACCTTCGACACTAACCTAGAGAATCTCTCGGGGTCTGGTGCTCGATTTCCCGATCAGATAACCCTGGGAGAGACCGCTTTTATGGGCGATTTGAATGTGATGGAGCTTTTCACCGACGCTGACGCGATCATCCCGTTCCTTTCGAACATAGGTACTATCTTGTCGGAGGCGGGGTTCGGGGTGAACTTGTCTAAGCTGGAGGTAACCATCAGAGCGTTTGGAAGTGGGTCCAGGGCCATGAACAAAAAGATTCGCCAAGGTCAATATCGCCTCGTGCTTCGTGGCCCTACTCCTGGTTCTCCTGAAGTCCCCATCAAGGCCACGCAGTCTGCTAACTATCTGGGCTCCATGATATCGATTCTGGGCAGTGACGTGGTGGAGGTCGAGGCTCGTATTAAGAAAGCTCGAGTGGCCCATCATAGGCTAACTACCCGTCTGTGGCGCTCTAAGGTGTTACCCTCAAGTTGAAAGCTCGTCTGTGGGTGGCACTGGTTCGCTCTATTCTGTTGTATGCCATGGAGGTCCGCCGAATCAGCCCTGGAGGTCTTAAGAGACTGGAACGCTTTCAGATTCGATGTCTCAGGCATATCGCCCGGCTTCCTGCTCATATATCGAGAGTATCTTCTAATGACCTACGTGAGCGTTGTGGCGTCCATAGCGTTGAATCTACTCTTCTTGTTCGTCGTTGTCTTTGGATGCAGAGGGTTGTTGCCCCATTCTTTCATGACGAGGAAGGCGATCCGCTCTTGGGCACTCGTGAGGATGACCCCACCGTTGCTGCGCGTGCTGCTGTTTTCGGTCGTTCGAGTTTGAAGGCGCGCGGGAAGATTTCACACCCCGACAGATCAGGCTGCACGAAGACCTCCTGACAGTGTTCGAGGGGGCCAAGGAAGAAGCCCGAGCTCGTGCAGTATCTCTGGGCGTGGAACGTGAGGCAGGTGCGCTGTCTAAGCCGTGGCTTGAGTGGCTTGCCCGAGAGCCGTGTTCCACTTTTCGGGCCCACTTGCCCTTCCGTGCGGCGCCGACTGAGACTGCAGATGTTGAGAAGATTGTGTGCCCACAGTGTGGTGTTGTCTGTTCTGGAACTCGTGGGCTCCACATCCATCAAGCAAAGGCTCATCAGGCGTTCGACACTATACCTCGTGGTGTTACTGAGTGCCCCCATTGCCAAGCTAAAGTCAGTCGGCGAGATTGTCTGGTGAAACACATTCGTCTCCTCCGCTGCCCTTTTTTCTCAGACGGTTCAGTTGCACCCGCGGCGGCGCCACCTGTGCCAGAGGGAGGCGATGTTCAGCACCCCAGGCCGCCCGACACGGAAGGCAACCGACGACCCGTCGGGTAGGAAGGTGAAGGACGCGAAGAAGGGCGTGGTCGAGGCCGCGGCCGAGGCAGGCCCAGCGGAAGGCAAGGACAAGGACGGCAAGGACAAGGACGCGGTCGTGGGCGGCCGCCGTCGCGTGCAGGAGCTCCAGTTGATGGAGGCGATGGCCACGCTGACGATCCAGCTCGACGAGGAGCGCGCGACCCAGAGCAAGGCTCAGAACTTCGTGCTCGAGGGCAAGTCGGACAGCGAGTTCATGCAGGTGATGGACTGGACCATCGAGCAGTACGACAAGTCGGGCGTGGACGCGCGCCAGGACGCAAAGGTCAAGGGCGTGGAGTTCAAGGGGAACCCGTTCGGCAAGAAGCCAGTGGCTCTCTTTTCGGGCATGCTCTTTCGACTGGGAGGACAGGCCGAGAAGTCAGAGTCGAGGAAAGCAATCTTGGAGAAGATCAAGGAGAGGGTGCAGAAGCAGGAGCTCGCGGACACAGCACCAGCGGCGGCCTCCGCCCTCCTGGACCAGTTCGTGGTGTTCGGCAAACAGGCGTCAGCGTTGCCCCCGAAGTTTCGGGCATCGCGATGCTTCAAGATCGAGTACAGCCAAAACGCCGAGGACGGCCTCCAGGACGACGTGGCCATGACTAAGTGGATCTGTGCCATCCCCCTGTGCCGCGAGATAGAGTCATTGTTGATGCAGTCTCGTGAGGCACAGTTATTCCGTGGCATCGGCCTAGAGCTGGATTTCGACCACGGCCCGAGGAGCAAAGCAGCTAAACATGTGGCGAAGATAGCCTTCGGATCTGATAGTGCGAAGGGGAGTGGCAAAGGCAAAGGTGGTCTCTTCTCGAAGAAAGTGAGAGCGTGAGGCGAGCGGGGTCCGAGCTAGCAGCAGAGGTGGTTTGCTCGGCCTCGCTCTCGACTGTGCCGTGTGGCCGTAGCGCTGCACGCGTCGAGGCAGGAGCCTGCCTTGATGATGGCTACGCCAAGCACGCTGAAGCCTCCTGGACGGGCAAGCGAGGTGCTAATATATATATATATATATATATATATATATATATATATATATACATATATATACATACATATACATACTAGAACCACGCGCGCGCTTCGCGCGCGCTTAGGTTCTAGCTAGGAGGCGAGCTTGAGTCAACGATAGTCGCAGGGAAGGGGGCAGGGGGAAAAAGGCCAGAGAGCGCTGAAGGATACAAATACTGGAACCCTCTTGTGATTTTGTGGGGGGCCTCGTCCGGCCGCTCGCTGGGAGTTTGACGTAGCTTCTCGGGAGCCTCTGAACCTGTCGGGGGCCTCCTGGAAGCAGGTTCGAAGCATTTTGGGGGCCGATTTGGGGCTTCTCGGGGCCTCCTTTGGGCCTCTTGGGGGTCTCCTGGGGCCTCTTGAGGGGCCTCCTTGGGGCCTCCTGGCGGCCTCTTGGGGCGGAAGGCTCGAGCTTGCGGTTCGTGGTCCCCCTCTGGGCCGCCTCTTGGGCCCGTCTTGGGGCCCTCTTGGGCCATCTTGGGCGCCTCTTGGGCCGTCTTGGGGTCTTGGGGCCCTCTTGGAAGCTTCTTGGGCCGTCTTCGGTCTTGGAGGCCTCTTGGGCCGTCTTGGACGCGGTGAAAGCCCAAGATGCGAACATGCGCGTTTTCCCATAGGAATGGCGATTTTTGTTTCTTGGACCTCTCTTGGGGTGCCTCTCGGAACGTCTTGGGCTGATTTTGGAAGCCTTTTGGCGCCTCTGGGCGGCGTTTTGGCGCCTCCTGGGATATGTTGGGCCGGAAGCTCGGAATTCGAGAGTGGCTTTCTCCTTCTGGGACCCCTCTCGAAGTCGTCTTGGGGTTCTCTTGGGCCGTCTTGGGGCCGTCCTGAGCCACTCGTGCGCAGCCTTGGAGCGCTCCCGGAGGCCTCCTAGGCCGTCTTGGAGGCCTCTTGGGCCGTCTTGGACGCGGTGAAAGCCCAAGATGCGAACATGCGAAAAATATACGTTTTCCCATAGGAATGACACGATTTTTGTTTCTTGGACCTCTCTTGGGGTGCCTCTCGGAACGTCTTGGGGTGCTTTTGGGAGCCTTTTGGCGCCTCTTGGCGGCATTTTGGCGCCTCCTGGAGCCTCTTGGGCCGGAAGCTCGGAATTCGAGGTTGGCTTTCTCCGTCTGGGACCCCTCTCGAACTCGTCTTGGGGCTCTCTCCGGCCGTCTTGGGGCCGTCCTGGGCCACTCGTGCGCAGCCTTGGAGCGCTCCCGGAGGCCTCGTAGACCGTCTTGGGCGCCTCTTGGGCCGTCTTGGACGCGGTGAAAGCCCAAGAGGCGAACATGCGAAAATATACGTTTTCCCATAGGAATGGCACGATTTTTGCTTCTTGGGCCTCTCTTGGGCTGCCTCTCGGAGCGTCTTGGAGGCTTCTGGGACCTTCTTGGTGTCATGACAGGCGTCTTGGAAGGCATCTGGAGCCATCGGAGCGCGTTCCGAAGCCGCCTGCGAACGATCTTGGACGGCGTCCGGCGGTCCGACGAGCCTCCGGGCCCCCCGGAGCCCACATTTGTGGTCGGGGTCCCGGCCCCGGGCCCCCGGACCCGGTGCGCCGTTATATGTTATATTATGTATGTGAATATATAATATATATATATATATATTATATATATATATATATATATATATATATAATATATATATATATTTGACAGCGCTCAACCCCTTCAGGCTTCAAGCGAGGCGTCTATAACGTGTTATAGTCATCCTGCGACACCGCGGGCACGACGAGGCATCGCCCGCAGCGCTGACCACCTCTGTGGCCAGGCTCTGCCGCGAGCGACCAGCACCACACCTCTGCGCAGTGCCTCGGTCACTCACGACACTCATCTACTGATTAGACTCCCTTTTTGGCCTTCTTCTTAGCCGAGGGACCGCCTTTCGAATTCTTTGGCTTGAACGCAAGGGCCGCCACTATCTTTGCAGCAGCAGTCCTCGGAGCAAAATCTTCAAGGAGGTACATGCCTACTTTCTCGAGCGTGCGATCTACCATCAAAATGCGAAGGTCATTCATCACAGACTCGCGTGGGAAATAGAAGATCCACTTATCCATTGATACTCCGTCCACATCAACTTCCACACGAAAGGCACGCTGGCAACGAATGGATGAGTCAGTCTTAGCACGCTCACCAAAAGCACAAACATTTTTGATAGCCTGCAACGTCGGTCCACTCGCCTGAATCTTGTCCAACATACCAGGCTGTTGAAGGAATTGGCTCAGACGTACCATCAAAGCCCTACCCAAGACATCTGGTTTCTTACCGTGCGGGTGTCCGCCGTAATCAACTTTGTCTTCCACTGCCTTTGCTCTTGCCACCTTTCCCTCCTTTGCGTAATCCTCCTCTTGCTTGCGCATCAGCTTCGCGTAGGGGCCGTCGCTCGACGACTGGAGCACGAGGTTGTCGATCCTGGCGGTGTTGCGCTGCTCGTCCACTAACTGCATCGTGCACTTCGCCATCGCCAGGACCAGCTTCTTCATGTTGGGCTGCACCTCTTGCTCGTCCCCGTCCTTTACCTCTGCCTCCGCCTCGTCCTCTGCCCTTTTGCGCCTGCCGCCCTCCACCGTCGCTGCCGCCACGTCCCAGTCGCTGAACATCGCCATCAGAGCGGGCAGCAGCTGGCCTCCGCAACACTGCCGAAGGCTGGGCGCCTCGGGCAGCAATGGGTATCTGATCAACTGGGATCTGTAGCGCCTGAGCCCGAGCCTCAACAGTTGCCGAACATCGAAGCCTCACATGTCGCAGCAAAGTGTCCCTGCGAGTGAACGACTGCGAGCACAATGGACAAGTGAGATCACTAACATCTGCAAGCGGCCGAACTTTATGCATGCGAGCGCGGTGAATTGCCAGGCCACGTTCACCACAGCACACCTCACCGCACTCAGGGCACGTCAACTGTCGAGTGGCATCCGACTCACTTACATCATGACGAGAGGTAAAGGAGAGGACACACTTCAGGTACGCTTTCGGCATCAGAGCTAACTCACGAAGCCACACTCTCTCAACAACATCACCCACGGCATGCAAACCCGTACGCTGGTACACTTCACGCTGTCGAGAAGCAGGAAGAGTTGGGAGCAAAGCACGCAGGTCACGACAAAGGGACGCCATGCGATCGCTAACCACACCACTTCCGTCAGCATTGTCATTTTCAAAGGCAAACCTTCCAAACAGGATAGCACGCACGCCTACTGTTTCATCATAGCCATGATCGGGTCGCTCCACAAACACTGGACGCAATACATGTCGCCACCAACACAGTCGCCGAAAGAGCAACGTAGTCTGGATACTGAACACTCGTGCTCTATCACGAATATCATAGTTTGAGACACGCCCTAAGTGTGCTGGGCTTTTCAACAAGTGTCGGAGCTTTTTCGTTTGGAACCGTTCCAATCTCGCTTCATCCGTCACTGTCATAACACACACTTCAGTCGCATACAGCAGAATAGACCGAACTAAGGAATTCCACAATCGAAGCTTCAAGGGAGTGGCAATGGAGGTAGAGCGCCAAACTCGTAGGGTTAATCGAGCATGAGCGGCTGTGGCCTTCGAAATGCGAGTCGAGACCTCCTCAAACGACCTCCCATCACCACGAACCTGGGCCCCGACATACTTGACTGACGGAGTAGCCGAAAACGACGAGTCCCCCTGCCCGAACTTCACCTGTTTTTTCTGAATGGTCTTATTCAGCTTTTTGGAGCCCTCCCCACAGACGACAAACAGCGCTTCAGTTTTGCTAACGTTGACTTTCATCTGCTTTTTTAAGACCGTGCTTTGGACGAGCTCGACAAAACCCTCGATGTCCCCGAAGTCCGCCACTTCCAAGAAGGAAACAAGGTCGTCGACGAACTCAAGCTGCGACGCGTCCAAGGAGGCAAGCTCAGGGTCCTCGAACGCCAGGCCCCCCAGCTCGCGCCTCTTAGTCAAGGAAGGGTCATAGCGCACCTCGATCGGATCATAGCCTGCTACGGTCCTACTCTCCTGGATATCTCTGACCACGAACTCGTAAACCGCCAGAAAAAGAGCCGGCCCCTCAACACTGCCTTGTCGGACCCCTTTTTGGATCCACAATCGACGAATAACCTTCTGAGTCTTAATGTCCCGAACCATATAACATGTCCCATCGTGTAGCCGTTCCTCAAATAAAGCAAGCCCCCGAGACTTAGCTAGGTCCTCCAGGGCCCTCCAGATGTCCTCCCTGGCCAACTTATCGAAGGCCTTCTCCAAGTCAAATAACACAGCAGCCAAGATAGACAAAGAACGCTTAGCCCGTCTTGACGCACGGAACCTCCTCAAGATCTCATCAAAACAAGCCAGAGCGTCCCGAGTAGCACGTCCAGGAAGAGCCCCAAACTGAAAGACCGACACCGCAGCTGCAATGCCAAACCTGAACGGGGTCAGAGCGAGCCGAGAGATCATCTTCCCCAGGTGTCCCAGGATATTCAGCGTACGATAATGATTAGCAGCGTGTGAGCCATCACCTTTAGGTTTTCTCAGAAACACGGTCTCCCCGTCCTTGCACTGGGTTGGGATCTCCAAACGAGACCCAACTGCAGCAACTAGATACGTAAGCGGCAAAGCCACAACAGGGAGCGCCATCTTCCACAACTCTGCCACCGCACCTGAGGAAAACCCAATATCGTCAGCATCCTGCAACAGCTGAAGTCCTGGAGCAGCTTTGTTATTCGGTAACGCTTCCACTGCTTTGGTCACCGTCTCGGGCTGGATGTTCACTAAGTGCTGCAACTGATCATTCACACCAATCATGTCGGAGCAAGCCGGCTCTGGTCGCTCATGAAGTGGGAGTTCGGATCCCTCAAAGATTTGAATAAGAGCTTGAGTACGAACCTCCATCTCGTGATCTAAGTCCATGCACGGGCTGTTGCCGTCCCACACCGTGACCATCGGCGCCGACTGCTTGGGGGCTAATCGTTGGACCAACTTGTATACGCTTCGAATATCTTGACGGCGGTCTGCCGCTTCCGCTTCTTCACGCAGTGTCACAACTGATCTGGTCTTTTCCTCTTTGATAGCTACCTTCGCATCACGTCTTGCTTGCTTCCATTTAGCCATCGCATGCATCGTTTGTTGTGATCCAGGCCGCCGACTTTGGAGAATAGCCAATCGCCTCTGAAGTGCATGCTTAAGCTGAATCTTTTCAACAGTCGCTTCAGAAAAGGCCCAATGAGACTTCCGAGTTCTCGCCTTGGGATCAACCACAAAAAGAGGAGCTGCCGCGTCAACCACCACTGCTTCCATTGCTGCCAAATACACTGTGGTGTCAGAAAAGGGGAGTCCACTGCCACACACTTGCTGCCATGGCTGTAACAGGCCACCCCCATGCCGTTCATGCAACAAACGGTCCACCTCAGCACGAAACTGAACAGCAAGTCGAGCGCCTTCTTGACAATGCTGATCGTCAGCAAGAGTATTCAACAACAGCTGCCGATCCCATCGCTGAGGGACTTCACTACGAGCTCGTCGCTTATATAAGGCTCCAAGAGAAAAGGATGCCTGAAGCACTCGATGATCACGCACACCTCCAAGAGACATTGCACAATGCTTCAGTACTTTTGCCGTCCGATATCTGCAGCCTGCCGCTTTCGCTATGATGAAATCCACACGATGCCACTTTTTTGTGCCTGGGTGCTGCCACGTACCATCTGCTACATCCGCAGGTCCAAAAGTATTCAACACACGGAGGTCATAATCACGAACGAGATCGAGAAGTGCATCAGCATTCAGATTCTTATATCCACCTCTCACTGCACTGGGTAAACGTTCTGCTGATCCTCCGTATCCAATCCACGGGAGATTCGGTCGAACTTGACCATTGGCATCAACACACATAATTAACGCACAACGCCCATGGTGCATAATAGCCTTCACAGCCTGATCACACCGCTTCCAGAACACGCCAATGGATTGAACCACTGCAGCACGCGCAGCTTGTCGATCAAGATGAGCATCATTTAGAAAAGTATCAACTGGAGCATTCCCATTGAGGATATAATGACAAACCTCATCAGCCCCTTGGCCACATCGAATCATAACACCGTACAGCTTGCCAGGGAGCCAGTCATGAACACAGCGAATCTGAGTTGGAGCGCATACTTTCGAACTGATCGCAGTGATGACTCCATCATGAGAATGAGGGTGAGACTTGCCACTAGAAAATACCATAAACGATCTGCACGACCACGTTGCCGTAAGTGGAAGACATGTACCCTGCAGACAGACGACGTCGATGCTCTTGTCCTCCGCAATGCATAAAATCTCCGCCAGTCTACCTACAGCCTTCAGAGATTCACAATTGTACGTCCAAACTCGAATTTCCCTTTTCGGATCCCTTGGCGCACGACGATGGCGACGTGTAGGAACATCACGCCCTGGCTCACCACGAAGTTGTCCGGGGAAGGGGGGGCAAAAGTTCCGCTCACCACCCACATCTGGAAGACCAGGAAGCCATTCTCGACCACGAGATTGCCGTCCCAATGAGAGATGTATGGCCGAGATGAGCTCGATTGTCGCGATCTTGACTACCTCGTCGCCTGAATATGCACGACCTTTATACCAACAAAGTCCAGTAAGTAGTGTACGTCGCACGGCGCGCCGCAGGGATTTCTTGCCTCTCTGCCCTTGCTCGCCTTGGCATGGGTCGGAAGTGACCTGAGCGGCTCCAGCTGGCATGGGCGGGCCAGCAGCGCTCGGCCGCGCATCAAGCTTGCATCGTGCGAGCCTCCAAGAGAGACGCGGGGGGCATTGCGACCCCCCCCCCAAAGGGGGCGATTTGGGCCAGTGCGGTTGCGGCCTTTATATATATATATATATATATATATATATATATATATATATATCCGCCGGCCGCCTTGCGGGGCCATCAGGCTGCGAGGCTTAGATTTGCTGCTCCCTGCACCGGTTCCAGTTTCCAATGTTAAGTATTGATTTATGATTATTACTGTATAGTGTTACTGTCCGAGCGAGGGGAAGGAGCCGAAAACCGCCCAGTCAGCGTCCCCGAATCGCGTTGTCTGAATTTCTGTGGGGCCGTGGGACACGAAAAAATCCGCCGACCCTGTCGGCGTGTGGAAGATGCTTTTCCGTTCGTCGTGAACGTCGTCGTCGTCGTCGTTGCCGCCGTCGTCGTCGTCGTCGTCGTCGCCGTCGTCGTCGTCGTCGTCGTCGTCGTCGATGCTCTTCCGTTCGTCGTCGTCGTCGTCGTCGTCGTCGCCCTCCCCTCAGGCGCGCCAGCCAAAGCGAAGGCAAAGCGAAATTGAGCAACGTCGTAGCTGAGTCGAAGGAAAGCCCCTTCCCTTTGATCCCTTCCCCGCTGGGGGGAGGGGGGCGGGGGGGTCCTGGGGGGAGGCCCGGGGGGGGGTCCCAGGGGAGGGTCCCGGGGAGGGGGGGGGGGGTGCAGATACGCATCCCCCCCGGGATGTCCCGGGACCTAGAAAAGCCCCCAGACTGGTCAAGAGTGCCCCAAGAGGCTTCCAAGACGGCTCCAGAGGGCCCCGAATCGCCGAACCATCGGTCGAAGACGCCAAAGTAGCCTCCAGACCGCCCAAGAGATTGCCAAGACGCTCCAAGAAGTCTCCAAGAGCACTCCCAAGAGGGCACGAAGAGGGACAAATCAATGATTTCCTTACAGTTTTTTGACAGATTTTGGCGTTCTCGCCGTTTCAACTTGCCGACGCTCCAAGACGGCCCCAGATGCTCCCAAGATTGCCCCAAGATAGCCCAAGAGGCCTCAAGAGAGCCCCAAAATGACCCAAGAGAGCCTCAAGACCGCCCAAGATGCCTCCAAGATGGCCCTAGAGGCTCCCCAAACGGCTCCAACAGGAGCCCCCCAGACGGGGGGCCCGACGAGCCCTCGGCGACAGAGGCTCCCAGGAAGCCCCAAGATGCCCCCAAGAGGCCACCACGAGACCCCCAAGAGGCCCCCAGGAAGCCCCAAGAGGCCCCCCCCGCCACATTAGAGAGCGCATGGGTCGCCCTCCAGGGTCGGCGGCACTGGCCGTAAGGCCTTCGCAATACATGAGATTCGCGCTCCAGACAAAATATTCCCTCGTACATTCTGCTGTATGCGCGCCCCCGAGGCCAAGATCCCTCGTAAATTACGCTGTCTTCGCGTCCCCGAAGCCACGATCCCTTTTAAAGTACATCAAATTCACGCTCCTGAGGCCACGATCCCCCGTAAATTACACCACATTCTCGCCTCTGGAGCCACGATCCTCTGTAAATTACGCCACAGTCGCGCCCCCGAGGCTACAGCCGACGCACCCCTAGCACCCCCACCAGTGGGGGTGCTCTCGTGGTAGGGGGGGCGGTTACAGTCGGACTTGATTGGAGGACACGCGAGAGGACACAAGACCCTTCCGAGGGCCACGTTGCCACAGAAATGCAGGAGGCATGGGTCGCAAGACACAGGACGCGAGGGTACCCTTGATCTGGCAGGGTCGACCTACTAATCCGGGCCGCCTGTACCACACTTGCATCATGTCACAGGCCGTCCCGTGTTGTCTTCGGCTTTTCACGTCATCGGACCACCTGCACCGAACCATCTCTCACCAGACGGTCTGGGGACCCCTGCGCCAGGAACGCCCCGTGGAGCCAGTGTGCGTCTGAGCATCCACCTGCGGGCTCTCAACTCGCCCGTGCACCTCGTGGGTAGGGGCCTGCATGCGCCGCCTTCCGCTCCGTGTGCGCACCCTGTAAGGCCTGAGCGCGTTCGAGTTATTTGCACTTGCCAGCGGGCAGCATAAGGGGCGAGGAGGAGGAGGAGGAGGAGGAGGAGGAGGAGGAGAAGGAGGAGGAGGAGGAGGAGGAGGAGAGGGGGGGGGCGTAAAACATGTTCGTGATTGGTGTCGCCCGTTTTAGCGGCCCTCGTCGCCAGGGCTGGATCTGCCTCGACATCCTTGAGGGAAACCGCGCTCCAGGATATGCCTGGGGATCGGCTTTTGGGAGACGAGGGGGGTCCTCGGCAACGGCGCGGCCCTCTGAGGTGGCAGGGTGCCACCTCAAACTGGCCTTGCCCCTCAGAACCCACGGGGGCGAGCAAGCGAGCAAACGAAAACCGACGGTCGTACCACCGGATGACGACCAACGAGGGGCGCGGCGGGAGCGCCTCAGCGCTTCACTGCTTGAAGTGCACGGCGGCGTCGCACCCTGGCCCAAGGTGCTCCTGGCCTCTCCAGGGAAGCCCACGTGGCTTCCGGGGCACCCCGTACGAGGCCCAGAGGGCTCCACTGGCCACAGAACGGCGCGAAACAGCGGGGCCCTATCACCCCTGGCAACCTCTGGTCGCATCGGTGGTGCTCTGTTACGCCTAGGCCTGCGCGCGAGCCGGCCTGAGCCCGCGACGCCCCAGTCGCCCCAGCCGACGATCGCGGCGACGCTGGCGTCGGGCTGCGGTCTGATCCAGGCCTGGAGAGCGCGCGCGCAACTGGGGCCCGCTCCCATCCCCAGACTTCCGCGACGTGCTTGTATTCAATCCTGGCGTCCTTTGTTCAGTTCCGCCCTGCGAGAGCCCGTCTCGGGCCTGGGGGACATCAAACAACTACGCAGAACAAACAAGAAACACAAAATCGTCGGCTACACGCAGAAGTGACCGTAGGCAAGAATGACCCTTGGTGCGCGGCTTGCCGATCGTTGCATGCGACTCGACAGCACCTGCCTGCGGGCTTGGGTTCCCCCCCTCTCCCCTGAGGCCCCTGTGCCCCCCGAAAGCTGCGCACCAAAGACCACTCTGGCGAAGGGTCACTCCCGTGTAGCTGAAAGCGGCCCTAGAGGAGGGGTGGAGGGCTCAAGGGGCCTACAAGTTGCGAAGCACAACGTTGTCAGTCTACGTCAGGACATACCTCGGAAGGACCCCAACGAGAAAGAACACAACGCCTTAGAACAACACGACTGGGGCTCCCAGCCTGGGATGCTCTTTCAGCGCATCGGCATTTATGCAAAATGCGCAAGGGTGAACGTCGGAGCAAAAGGTCTTGGCGCGCAGAGGCAGTTTTGGCAGGCCCAGCTTTGCGAAGCGGCTCCATGCACTCAAGAGCGCGCCCCCGCCCCATGATCTCGGGCAGCGTGCTGCAACAATGCCTGGTGTGACTTTCATCTTCTGACGCACCAGGAGCACTTGAGCTGCCCAGCAAGATCCGGCAACCTTCATGTATGAAGGAGCGCGCTCGTGGCACACTTCTCACTGAAAGAAGGGCCCTAGCTTCAAGCTGCGCCCTCCTCCTTGGGTAAAAGGGGGGGGGCTTCCGAAGCTCCCCCCTCTGCCCCCTCTTTTGTGGCCATTTGTTAGCTGGGGGTGCCCTAGCTAAAGGGGGGGGGGCTTGGAAGCTACCCCCCCCCCTCCTTCCTTTTCGGGGTTCGGGGTCAGCCGGGGCTCCCCTTTCAAAGAGGGAGACTTCCGAAGCCACCCCCCCACACTCCTTTTGTTTGGATTTTGTACTCGGAGGGCCCCTGGCTAAAGTGGGGGAGGGCTTTGGGGCTACCCCCTCCCCCTCTCCTTTTCGGGGCCCGGGGTAATCCTGGGCTCCCCTTCCAAAGGGGAGGGGGGCTTCCAAAGCTACCCCCCTCCCTTCTTTTTGTTGGCTCTTCCAGCTGGAGGGCCCTGGCTGAGGGGTGCTTCGAAGCTACTTTTCTTGTTTGGTTTTCGGCGCCCTTTTGCTTTTCGGCGTACTTTTGGTGTTCGGCGTCTCTTTGGTTTTCGGCGCCTCTTTGGTTTTCGGCGCCCCTTGGGCCTTTGGCACCCCTTTGGTTTTCACCACTCCTTTGGTTTTCGTCGCTCCTTTGGTCTTCGGCGCTCCTGTGGTTTTCGGCGCTCATTTGGCTTTCGGCGCTCCTTTTGATTTTCTGCGAACTCTTTGGTTTTCGGCGAATCGTTGTTGTTCGGCGTTTTCTTGGGTTTCGGGCGCCCCTTCAGGTTTCGGGCGCCCCTTCAGGCTTCGGCGCCCCTCTGGTTTTTGCCGCCCTTTGGTTTTCGACACCCTTTTTGTCATCGGCGCTCCTTCGGTTTTTCGGCACCCTCTTGGTTTTCGGTGCATCGTTGGTTTTCGGCGCAACTCTTATTTTTGGCGCCTCTTTGGTTTTCGGTGCCCTTTTGGTTTCCGGCGCCTCTTCTGCTTTCGGCGCCCATGCGGTTTTCGGCGCCCCTTTGGCTTTCGGCGCACTGTCCGTCTTCGGCAGTTCTGCTGTTTTCGGCACCCCTTTCCGCTTTTGGCGCCCTTCTGGTTATCGGCGCCACGTTGGTTTTTCGGCGCTCTTTTGGTTTTCGGCGCATCGTCGGGTCTGGGCGCCCCTTTGGTTTTCGGCGCTCCGTTTGGTTCTCGCCGCCGCTGGGGTGTTCGGCGCCCCTTCGGTTTTCGGCACCCCTTTGGTTTTCGGTGTCCTTCTGGTTCCTGGCGCCTTTTTGGTTTTCGGGCCCATCTTTGGCGTTTGGCGCCCTTTGTTATGTTCGGCGCTTTTTTCGTTTTCGTCCTTGGTTTTCTGCGCCTCCTTGGTTCTCGGCGCCCTTGTGGTTTTCGGCGACCGCTCGGTTTTCGGCGCTCCGTTTGTTCTCCGCGCCCTTGTGGTTTTCGGCGCCCCTTTGGTTTCCGGCGCTCCTTTGGTTTTCGGCGCTCCCTTGGTTTTCGGCGCCCCTTTGGTTGTCGGGCGCATCTTTGGCGTTTGGCGCCCCTTGTTGTGTTCTCGGCGCCTTTATGGTTTTCGGCGCCGGTTGGGTTTCCGGCGTTCCTTTGGTTTTCGGAACCGTCTTGGTGTTCGGTGCCCCTTTGGTTTTCGGCGCTCCTTTGGTTTTCGGCACAGTTTTGGTTTTCGATGCCTTTTTGGTGTTTGGCGACCCTTTGGTTGTGGGCGCCCTAATGGTTTCGACGTCCTTTTCGAGTTCGGCGACCCCTTGGTTTTTGGCACCGCTTTGGGTTTCGGTGCCGCTTTGGTTGGCTATCCCTGACAGCAGTAACGCACTACCGAAAAGGCACCTCGACCCCATGCCGAGGGAGGTCGAGGAGGAAAAGATGATGACTCAGATGACGATGTTGTCATGGCGCTGCGCGTGCGCACGCTGCGCTCCACGCCTTCCGCCACGCGTCGCCGGGCTCTGCCGCCCGCGGCCCCTCGACCGCGGGCGCAGAGCCTTTCGAAGGCCAACGGGTGGGAGAGGCCTGCAGGGCCTCCTGGGCGGGCCATCTTGGCCCAGAAAAGCTAGAGCCCCAGAGGGGGGAGAAGGGGAGAGCAAGCAGAGGCATGGGCAAGGACAGGAGAGGACGGGCCCCCGCATTCCTGGGGCCAGGGAGAGCCTAGCGTTTAAACCAAACAACTAATTAAGCTATCCCTGACAGCAGTAACGCACCACCGAAAAGGCACCTCGACCCCATGCTGAGGGAGGTCGAGGAGGAAAAGATGATGACTCAGATGACGATGTTGTCATGGCGCTGCGTGTGCGCACGCTCCGCTCCACGCCTTCCGCCGCGCGTCAGCGGGCTCTGCCGCCCTCTCTCGGGCGCGCCTGGCAGCGGTCGCTGCCGGCGCGACCTCCACTGTGGTCCGGGGCGCGGGCGGCCTGCGGCCGCCGGCGCACTCGGGGTCTCGCGCGCCGGTACCTACGCAGCGCCGGCGCGGGGTGCGGCCAGGCGGCGTGGCAGCGCCTGCCGCCGGCTGCGCCCAAGCCCACGCCGCCGCCCCCTCATGACGGCACTGCGGCTGCGAATTCAGCGCCAGGCTTGCCGCGGGGAAACCCGCGGGCCTGGCCGCGCGGGGGGAACGCCAGCGTGGTTCCAGCCGCCCGGGCGCCCAACCGCCGTCGCCCCCAGGCACCGCGGACCGCCCGCGCGCCGCTGCCCGCGGGCGCTCGGCTGCCCAGTGGGCCCAGGCGGCCCGGCTGCCCCGCGGGCGCCCAGCCGCCGCCGCCATCGCCCCGCAGCCCGCAGGCGCCCAGCTGCCCGCGGGCGCTCGAACGCTACGCCTGGCGCCATGCACCGGCTTGGCTCCGCGCGCCAGGCCGTGGCCGGCGGCGGATCATTCCATCCCTTCGTCGCTCGCCAGGCCATTGGCCAGCGGCGCCACACACAGCCGTCTCACGGCACCTCCCCATCTCACTCGCTCGCCAGGCCTTCGGCCGGCGGCGCCGCGCTCAGCCGCGGCGCGGCTTAGCGGCCACCTCGCGCGTGACCTCGTCCCCGCGCTGGAAGCCCTGGTTCTTGTGGACGTAGCGGGCGCCGCTGTAGTGCACCGGCCCCTGGATTCCCGCGTCGCAGTAGATCTTCTTGGGCTTCTTGGCCGTCCTCTTGTCGTCCTCCGTCGCCTCCTGCGGCGTCCCACTCGAGCCCTGGGGCCGGCTGTCCCGCCTCAGGCTGCGCCAGCAATGCCAGGCCATCGCCAACGTCGTAGCCAGCACCACCACCAGTGAGATGACGACCTTCGCCATGATCTCCAGGGGGATCGCGATGGTGATGTCCTCCCCGTCCGCCGCCAGACGCACGCTGACATGCTTCTTGTCCTCCCCCACCACCGCCAGCTCCTGGCTGGCCGCTGTAGCCTGACCCAACGTGGCCGCGGCCGCTGCTGCGGCCCCGATGGCTGACAAGCCCCTGGGGGGAGCACGCCTGGCGCCAGCGCCGGCGGCTCCCTCCTGGGGCTTCGCTGCTGGCGTCGTCAACTCCGAGTGGTCGTTGGCCGTGCGCCGGGCTACGTCGCGCTGCGGCTCGTGCGACTCCCAGAGGTAGGCGTGGAAGGAAACCGACGCCCACCTCCCGTACCTCTGGACCTTGGCGAGGTCGTCCGTGACGTGGTACATCGCCGTGGCCCCGCCGATCCTCAGGGAGTGGGGACCAATCTCCTCCCGCTTGAGACCTGCCGCCAGGCCCGCCAGCGTGAGGAAGTGCTGCACCTCCTCGCGCTTCACAGGCGCGCCTGAGGCCCACCGAAACAGGGGCAGCCGCGCCTCCGCGCCGTGGTCAAAACGATGCGGATGCTGGGCCTGCATCGCCGCCAGGGCCTCGACGGGGCACAGCGCTGAGTGGGTGGCGTACTGGTTGCGCACCGTCCCCACATTGTACTGGTCCGTCTTGGAGCCCTTGATGTGCAGCACGCATTCGTCAGCCTGGGCGAACTGGCCGACGCCCTCCCCCTCGCGCCTCGCCTCGAGGTCCTCGCCGTGGACCACCCTGTCGACCGACCACGATCTCACTGCCACCACCAGGTACTCCGACGCCCTCAACAGGAAGAAGAAGGCGAGGAGCACCGCGGCAAACAGCGTGGCGGCGTCGGCCTGGGACAACCCCGCATCTGCGTGGATATGCTGCTTGAGCCACAGCAGCATCCGCGGGGTGACCGGCCTCTTCCGCCTGCTGCTGGGCCCCTGCAGCCTTATCAGGCCTGCAAGGGTCGTCCAGAGCCGCCCCCGGTGAAGCAGCGGGTCGCCG